TTTAATCCACCCTAAACCAGGGTGTTATCTTATAATTAATTATGCATGTGCTATTTCATATTATATTATTTATTTTATGGATTAGTCAATCTCTTTAGTTAAACATGGCCCCTTTATCTGATTAAATTCAACAAAACAGAAAACCTATTTATGTATTGTTTTGATGAAAGTTAGTATGTTCAGAGAGGAATGAATTTGTATTATATTATTTTCCTTTTCACAGTATACAAGACAAATTACCATTTTTAATAATAATAATCTTTATTGAATTGTGCAGGGGTATGTCCTTTTGGATCTTGATAAATTCGTAATAAGAAAATGAGACACACAGTTGAATAGCCAACATATCAGAAAAATTATAGAAAATAAATCTAGAAAAGATAAATAACATGACAAAATTATTATGAGGCAGGTAGCAATTTTATTTTAATTTCCTCCATTAATTTAAAATGGATAGTACTCCCTCATTTTCACTGGTCATGATGACTTTCATATTTCTATTTGATGTGATATTTCATTGTAAATTGTTTCACTTATGAGATATTTTCTCTCATTTGCGAAGAGTTATCGATTTCACTTCACGGATGTGATATTTAACGTTGCAATATATAATAATAAAGATAATTTATTGCATCCTTAGAAATACAGTGTTTCCATCAGTTTATAGCAACAAAAGTAAGATATTAAAAAACAAAATAACTATAGCAAATAATAAATGATAGATTTTAGTGTTTTTGTTAAGTATCTTTCTCGTTTCTCATTAAGAACGAGCTGTGTATAAATTCTCCAACAAGTTTGATTACATTTGTGTTAGAATTTTTCATTAAGTATGTAAATTTCTGTTGGTCAGTTTTTGTTTCATCAGGAAACTGTATATTTGAGAATATATCCATTCGCAGTGTGTGATATTTTGGGCATTTGATGAGGAGATGCATTTCATCTTCTATGTCTGCTAAAGTACATTGTTTACAAATCCTGTTTTCCAAAGAAATTTTAGGTTGGGTATGTCTACCCTTTTCTATTGCTAGGCTGTGATTACTTGTTCGGAATCTAGAGACAGAAATTCTATGTTTTAGATTCAGTATAATTAAGTAACTTTCAAAGTTGTAGTTTGTTTTGAATTGAGTATATGTTCTCAACTTAGGTTTATCCATAATTGTCTCCTTCCAGAATTCAATATATTTTTGTTTAATATTGTTTCCTATTCTCTTTATATTTTGTATTGTTGCATTCAATTTGTCATTGATATTCTTTATATCTAATGTGTTATCTTCCTTATTTAACTCTTTGTAAATTGACATAATCCATGGGAGTTTGCAGTTTATCTGTTCATGGTATGCCTGTTTTGTTAAATTACATTCTGGAAGTTCTTTGATCCGTGCCAAATACTTTATAAGATTTATTTTGATGTCTACTAGTAATGGTAGTTCACCTATTTCTGCTCTACAAGCTAGATTTGATGAAAATTTATTCAATCCAAGCATTCTTTTACTAAATTTCAGATGGGTTTTCTCGATTGGTGTAATGTCCCATTTATTATTTTCTTGAATTTCGAAGCCCCATACATCTGATCCATATAATAGTATTGGTCTTATACATGTTTTGAATAGGTGTAACATTGTTTTGCAGTCAGTTTCTTTTGGCACAGAAGTCATCATTGCATATAAAGCTCTTGTGGCTTTGTCTGCCAAATTATTTCTTGTGTCGCTGAATTTACCATTCGACTGTAATGATACCCCAAGGTAGTTGTATGAAAATACACAACTAATATTTTGACCTTGATATGTAAATTTTGATTATGAAACACACTGATATGTATGATGTATGTGCCAAATACGAATGAAAATGGTACATAAATTGTGGAAATATAGTAGTAAGGCCAAAAAGTCAGATGGCTGTCAATCGGCCATCCTTGACCAGATTTTGAAACAAATTGTCATGGACATGCATCCTAACATGTATAAAGTACATGTATGTGCCAAATTTGAATGAAAACTGACAGAGCACGTCCAAGATACCGCATAAAAAAACAAAAACAAGATGCCTGCTAGTCGACCATCTTTGATCCAATTGCGAAATAAATCGTCATGGAGATGTATCCTAACATGTATAATCTATGTACCAAGTTTGAATGACAACTGACAAAGCATGTCCAAAATACAACATTTTCAAAAAACAAGATGGCTGCCAGTTGGCCATTTTGAATCGAATCGCTAAACCACTGCATGTGCATATGTCCCACATAAGGTACTAGGCACATGCAAAAAATGAACGGAATCGGTCCACAGGATTCTAAAATATGACATTGGACAGACTGACGCACGGACAGACGGACACACGGACGGTCGGACGGACAGACTCAGGAACTCACGGACGGTCTGGGCCATGTATCCTAACATGTATGATCTATGTACTAAATTTGAATGAAAACTGACAAAGCATGTCCAAAATATGACATTTTCAAAAAACAAGATGGCTGCAAGTCGACCATCTTTGATCCAATTGTGAAATAAATCATCATGGACATGTATCTTAACATGTATAATCTATGTACCAAGTTTGAATGAAAACTGACAAAGCATGTCCAAAATACAACATTTTCAAAAAACAAGATGGCTGCCAGTCGACCATTTTGAATTGAATCGCTAAACCACTGCATGTGCATATGTCCCACATAAAGTACTAGGCACATGCAAAGAATGAACTGAATCGGTCCAAGGGATTCTGAGATATGACTCCGGACGGACGCACGGACGGACGGAGACCGAATTATAAGTCCTCGTTTTTGGACTTCGTCCGAACGGAGACTAACAAAATCAGCCATTTTGAATAATGTATATATCTATAACATGATGTATAACGAATATATAAAATTTGAACATAATCAGTCAAAACATGTCAGAGATATGGCTCTAGAAGCCCAATCATTAAAATAAAATGGCCACCAGTCAGTCATTTTAAATCCGATCTGAAAAAGAAAATGATGTGCATCAGGAACCCGTAATGTCTAATGTATGTACTAAGTTTGAACGAAATCCATCTATAAATGCCAGAAATGCTTGATATTTGATGATTTTTTAGCACAAAAATGACCACCATTCGGCCATTTTGAATAGGATTGCCAAACCAATATATCTGTATATCTATGACATAAAAGTATAATGAATATTAAAATTTGAACATAATCAGTTGAAGCAAGTCAGAGATATGGGTCTAGAAGCCCGTTCATTAAAACAAAATGCCTGCCAGACAGCCATTTTGAATCTGATCTGAAAAATAAAATGATGTGCATCAGAAACCAGTAATATCTAATGTATGTACCAAGTTTGAACGAAATCCATCCAGAAATGCTTGATATTTGATGATTTTTTTAGCACAAAAATGGCCACCATTCGGCCATTTTTTATAGGATTGTCAAACCAATATATATGTACATCTATGACATGATGTATAATGAATATTAAAAATTTGAACATAATCAGTAAAAGCGTCCGAACGAGGACTAAAAATGTCTGATGATTACTGTAAACTGCTTTAATTTTGCGAAAACAAAATTTCACGGATTTTGCAAGTCTGTGTCTTCAATGTTTGCATGACTTTACTGACTTTACTTTGCTGATTTGCAAAATTTCAATGACTTGAAACAGATCAGTGATACATCATGTGACCAATCAGAAAAGCTATCTTCACTAACTATCATTAAAGAAAATATAAATAGGACCTGGCCAACTAAAAAAGTAAACAAATTAATGAACTTTATTTACTTTTTAGTTGAAATGTTCTACACAATTTTAAGGGATGTTTTTTATTAATGGTTTATTAGAATAACAGTTAATACATTATTAAATTTATTAATCTGCTAGATCCTGATTTCTTACCTTCTGTATTTCCTGTATCAAAGGTTGAAATAAGTCAGTATCATAGTTAGAGTCGACTCCTTGTATTATGGAGACTAATCTTTCCAGTCCCATACCAGTGTCTATGTTGTGCTGGGGTAGCTTACTTAAACATCCATCCTCCTCTCTGTAGGCAAAAACAATAACAATAGTGAAGAAAGCATCGAGAAAACCCCAAGAAAGGACATACTGCATAATACTGTAAGCTATATTGTGTTGTTCACTATAAACATAGCATTTTAACTAATTAAAACTTACAAAAATATGGGCTTCTTAGTAAATGTCATAGTCCGAAGCACATTTTGCATAAACAAATGAAAGTATTCCTGTTCTCAGGTGATTTTTTGTTTTTATTTATACAGTCAGATTAAAACCACTAGCTTTTCAGCCATGTTCATTTGCTCGCTGAGCCTGTAAGTTTCGTTTGGCTTCATAGTATTGGTCAAATCACCGGCCTCCCGTAGAATGTACCGTTGGCTCGGATGATCACTACAATGCTACTCCACACCTCACAACAATCACTCGTTCACTCCCAATGTAAATAATTTAAAATACAATAATATTTAATGAATTAAAACTAATTACTTTCTTAGTTTGTCATATGCAATTGTGATAACAATTTCCAAAAAGACATTTTAAATTATGCAGATTCACTGTGACTTTCACTGTGGATTTTTCTCCAAGTTTTCCACATTTTAGAGGCAGCAAATCCAGTGTTATTGACAACGCTACAAAATAATAAAAATAATGAACTCCATGCAAACCTATAATGGACTAAAGCACATCTTGTACTTCATATATGTACATATATGTACATACTCGGCTCATGCCTTGCACATATACATGTATGTGACACAAAGTGAGCTTTCGCCCATTATGAGTTGGCGAGTCGTTGATTATTTTTTTGAGCAATGTTTCACAGAATGAATCAGTTGGATGGATTTTGCAACATTTTTTTAACTTATTTATGATGAAATAAACCTAATCAATCCAACTGAGACTATGTGATCCTTCACGGTGCTTACCTATTGTATTGTATGAAAACTAGATTCCATAATTCAAGAACACTGGGATCATCTTTATTAATCAGCGACGTAGCATTTCGGTTACCGATTCTATCGTAATGGATCTCACTACACATTCCGCAAGGTCCGATTGTGCCCATCTCCCAAAAATTTTCGTTCATCCCATACGGTAGAATTCTGTCTTCTGCGACACTGTTAACGTTAAATATTCAGGATATTATTCATCAGTTATTACATAACACTGGGGATGTTACTTGAAGGAACACAACATTTTATAACAGTACAAAAAACAGAAATTCAAAATCTTGTAAAAAATTACTTTTTCAGGTTAGAATTGATAAAAACTATAAAAACAAAGTAAAAAATAAACTTAAACACTGATGGCACTGTAATAAATAAAACATTGAATAAAATGTTCCTCACTAAGAATGGAAACAATTTATATAGATACACTGGGATAGTACATCTAGTAATTATTTTAAAATGATGTGCTTGATGTAATTTTTATTAGTCTCGGCATAGACCACAAAAATATCACTTGTGAAAATAAATTCCCTACTCCATGAGTTATTTTAGTATGGCAGATTATGGTTTAAAACAGTATAACATTTAATATGTAAAATATTATATAATACACGTCTTACCCAATATTCTTCCAAATATTTCTACATTCAATATCGGGTGATAAACCTAGTTGTTGATTTCCACCAAAATATGTCACGTATAATCTATTCGATGATAAACCATAGACGTTAATTAACAAATCCCATGCCATCTCACAAGTCTCCTTCTGCAGGTAAAATGAGATGTATTTTAATTAAAGAGGTCATCAACTGATACTACTTGTTCCTATATGTATGTATAAATAGAATAGAATTGAAGTCCAAGTGTAACTTAACATATATTCACCTAACTTTAAACTGGCTTTAAACTAAGCTTAGCTTACATTCAAAACATATTAAATCTAATTTTAGGCATATTAGTAATATAGATACAATACCAAATTTAAATTCAAAAATATACAAATTAATATTAGTTACACTTTTAAGCAGATCTATGCTAAGCATTTGCATTTGTATCATGATGCTTTGAGATTAAAGATAATTATTATACATCTGTCACCATAACGCCATAAGTTACAGCGAGCCATAATTTTGAGGGATTTCACGGGTTTTTTCAATCCTACCATATTAGGAAATGCGAATATCAAATAAAGAATGATTACGCATGTAAGTGTAATAATAAAAACAAACATGACTGCCACCAGGAGTTCGCTGATTCTGTTCTAAACTTTTTGGATTTTGGCATTGCCATGACGTATCCTTGGAAGGAAAAGATGTATAATGTACTCAGACATACGTGCATACTTGAGGTATCATCGTAATAATCTCATAATATTACGCTACATTATGATTATCAAATAATTTTTCATTCAGCGGTATTATTATAGCTGTATATGTTGCTAGGAACCCACATCAAGCACAACAAGGCATGATGACTGTGGTTTTTTAACACTATAACTGTAAAAAACTATGCTATGTCAAGAAAACCACCATACTGATCTTAAAATTAAAACTCATATTTTTTTTCTCTTACCTTGAAATAGTCTCCAAAACTCCAATTTCCTAGCATTTCAAAAAAAGTGTGATGGTAGACATCTTTACCAACATCATCTAAGTCGTTGTGTTTCCCCCCAGCACGGATACATTTCTGGCTGTTGACAACACGTCTGTATTTCACTATTGGACTACTTGGATCTACAGCACCTTGGAAGATACTTTTAAACTTTGGATAAATACAAGAAAATATTCATTAGCTAGAGATGAATGTTGTTACCATGGTTACTAGTTTTATTTGGATTGTCAGTTAACAAGATGGTTTGAGACTTTTGGTTTCCGTACATTTCTAGACTTCAAGATATATGTACTTTTTATTGACACGCCCACTATGTAAATCGTTTTATTATCATACTAGAAAAGGTAAACACAATAATTAAACAAAAAATTATTTCATTTATCATGTTAGATGAGAAGGGAGTTTGCATTGATGACAATCTTCAAAACCTTAAAATATCTTGATGTACGCGGATGAGGTAGCCGTGAGTTCTGAAATGCCAATACACACTCAACAACAAATAAAGTACACCAATTTTGTTCTCACTGGGGTCTAACTCTAAACCTAAACAAACATAGATAATTGTTTTTTGCAGGGGGTGGTTATCTAAAACATGATTGCAATCAAGAAATTAAGGTACAGTATATGTAGTTATTTTTTTTCAGATTCAAAAACTTGGAAGTATGACTATATCCCGATTCATTCAAATTATTTGGTGCCATCATTGTGCAAATCTTATTATATGGTAGTGATATCTGGGGTTTTGAGAACGCTCCTCAAATAGAACAAGTTCAAAATCAATTTTGTAAATTTCTATTCGATGCAAGTATAATAACTCATTGATTTATCAGCTGTTTCCAAATGTGGACGATTTCCTCTCCATGTTCTTTACATTAAAAATTCATTGGCTGAAGTTACTAAAAATGGATGCTAATAGATAAAGATCAAAATGTTATAACGTAAGTAAATTGGGTGTTTAGTGTAAAAATGTTGCTTTTTTGCTTCGGATTCGGCCATGTATGGTTGAACCAAAGTGTGGCATCATAAAATCTGTCTCTTGTACAGTTCACAACAAGTCTGGCACAACGACACTGCTTCTTCCCTCAAACTCTGTTCATTCCTATCATAATTTATGTCATTACTTGATCAAGAATAATATTTGTCTTGAATTCATGTTTTTAAATTTAGAGATGCGTTATCAAGGTTACCTTGTTCTTCTCACAATTTGCATACTGAAAGGGAAGACATGAAAATGTCTCCTTTGATAAAAGACTTTTTGAATACTGTGTTGAATGCAATCAATTTTATATTGAAGACGAATATCATTTTCTGGCAATTTGCCTTCACTATCAATGTATTAGAATAGAATTTTTGCTTGTGTGGTTTTGTACTAACTCTTCTTATACAAATTTATCTTGCTTACTGTATGAGGTCAAGATATGCTAATAATTTAAACCAGTTAGCTAGTTTTGTGTTTTTTTTGCCATGAAAATCAGAACTTGAATGTGTCATTGTTTCCACTATATGGACTTTATGTATTTATATGTATTTGCTTTTTGGACTAATTGTCTTTTGCTTTGCTTTTGCTGCAATACACAAACAAATGACTCAATTTTAACATTAGTTGTGTTCACGTTACACGAAGTACGGGCTAAGATTTAAGCTGATTTAGGCTTATCTAGCATATTTGCGTTTCAGCTAGACCCAATTGCGTCCACGCACAGGGAGGGCCAGTCGTTAGCACGGGCTAAAGGGTGCCATCAGTTGGTGACCTTTGGCAAGCCGCTATTTACGAACGAAAAATGGATGACATGCGCAAGGTTCTATTTCTGCTGCTGAAATGTTTCATTCTAATTTTGAAGCGACGTGCACAGAAACGCGAGAGAAGGCGGGCCCAACTTATTTGGATGCACAGAAACAGTATACAACGGCGTAAAAGAATACAGAGTTTTATTAATGCATGTCGTAGACAGCGCACCAAATTTATTTTGTCTATGATTGGAGCTGCTGTACGCTGTACTACAGCGACCCGATCAGTGTGGAAGCGTGTACACTGAGCTCGATTGCCATTTTGGGAATGAGAAAGTTAGATATATTTGATCACATGCATAATGTTCATACCCAAAGGTCGCTACAGAGGGAGCTTAGCCCTGGGCTAAGCGTTCGCGCACACATCATTAGCCCGTGCTAAGGGTCTAGACCGCGTCTTAAATTCGGATCAGATTTAACCCGTACTTAGCATTCCTTAGCCCGTGCTAAGCGTTCACGCACGTTTGCTTAGCACGGGCTACGGAATTTGACCTCTTATCCCGTGCTAAGGAGCTGTGCGTGAACGCAACTATAATCTATTTAGCCTGATTAATACTTTGACATGTTTGAGCATAATGCTATGAAAACAGCTGGATATACCGATATAACCAAGTTGGTTCAAAGATTATCAAAATAGACAGTTGGAAATAGACTGAACAATTCAGCTTGTTCAAGTTTCCAGACGAAAAGGAGTGAGGGATGAACATTTTTCTGCAGCATGTATAAGTACACTAAATAAGATTTGCAAGTCACCAAGTTGCACACCCCAATGCTGAATCTCAGACAGTAAAGTCAGCATTCAATAAAGCCACACTGTCAAGTCTGCAAAGACAATACCAATAGAATTTCCAAATAATTCTCAGTAATGCTATTACACATTCTTTTTCTGACCGGTAACTCATTTCAGTAAAAACATGGACAGCAGAAGATGCCATCGCAACTTGACATACATCTAAGGTTATGTAATTGAGACTACAATGAATCCTATGGCCTTGACCTGATTTTTTATTCTGGCAAGGTTTTCTTGGTTTGTCACCAACCCAGGCCAAACAATTATACATTAGATTGATATCAAATTGTATTAGTGAGTTCTTTAAATTAATACATATTAATAAAATCAAAATTAAAGTGCCTATGAAATGCCCATCTACATGTTTCCAATTTTTAATTTGTATTCCACTGAAATAAGACAGTTATTGAATGATTTGTTGAACATGATTACTCGTTAATTACAAGATATTTCTTGTGCTGTAGCCACACCCACCTATCCTGGAACGGTTGATTATTTCCGGATTTCTGTCTCTCGACGAGTTAAAGTGCGTCACCAAATGCCAAAATATGTGAGGAAGCCATACTCTGTATAGCACTGTGTCATTCAACATATGATACTTTTAACGATATACATTTTTCAGTCAGCAGTTTTTTATCTATTTTATTTTGAGAGAGAGAGTTTTTAGAAGTTGTTTTCACTACAAACATTTACATGTATGATGGTTAAACGTTGTGTCGTGGGTGGGTGGAGTAATACGTATAGCCACAGTGTAAGTAATTACACGTTTACAATCAATCCAAAGGTGCAACATTAGTGGACGAACGCCATGAAAGCAATGAGAAAACGTAGGGTAGGACATTCTTCTTACACCGCCATATGCAGTGTCCATTTTACCTCCGATTCTTTTGCAAAACAACTATCCTCATTTATAAAAGAACACATATGTTTTAAACACAAGCGAAAACTTAAACCTGGTGCAAAAGCAACACTTTCTAAAGAACAAGATTCCAGACCAGTCCATGTTCACTGTGGCATATATTAGAAGAGAGATGTCAAGCAAGTGTTTCAAATGATTTGATGTCTTTGTGATCTTGAATATTGCTTTATAGCGACCACTTAGTTTGTGTAAGAGGTAGCAATAATTTTGATAGTCACGTGAAAACCGAAGTGTCGGACAATCAGGAAATAACATAGTTTGTGAATTGTTCGGTGATTGGTGTTAAATGATGACATCACGCCTCTATGATCTTTACTTGCAGTTTGATCTACGTAATAATTTCTGGAATAAGAATCCGGGATTGGGCTGTCAATTTGTTTCGACCATGTAATTTACAATATAATGTCATAATTATGATGCTGATGATCACGGTAACCAGCTATGCCAGAATTTTAAAGGACATATTTCACATATAACTCAACCCTATGCGATAAACTTGATATTGTGTGTTCACTATGATCCATTCTTTCTTGACGAACAAGTACATAAGTGGCAATTTAGTCAAAAATGAGAAAATTGAACAGGAAATATGTCTTATAGATATGTATCAGCAATGCAAACTGCCCAACAAGTTTGCATACACACATCATCATATATCTGTATGCTAATGAGAAGCTAATGAGGAGCCTCGTTTTAAAATACACAAAAATAAAGTTACCGTAGACTGAGCTTCAAACCCATATTTTCACTTTAAAAAATATTTTATTCTTAGAAACATAAAAAATAATAATATTGATGTACCAATAAATTATTTTAGGCAAGAATGTAGCAGACAATTCACAGAAACTTTAAAGCTGGTGGTCATCTGTTATGTAGATGGAGATGTTAGTGTTTATGTGTACATGTACCTGTGTCAAGATTCAAATTATGGACTCCATTTTTCAAAGCAAGCTAAATTTTGTTGGGTCTACTTTTTTGACGATTTTTATTCAAAGTCATGCACGATCGAGGCATGGATTCTTCTAATGGAATTAGAATAAGTATTGAAAATAAAAAAATCAGAGAAAATTAGTAGTCATAATAATAACAGAGAAGAATAAGCTAGTCGACAATCATTGAAAATTTAGACAAGCCCTAGAAAAATATTTTTGAGATTTAGAATTTGGCCAATTCCTAAATAAATATTAGGTCAATTTCAAGAAATAAGTCTCTTCTATTATGACGTGTAAGTTGAGATTGATATACAATATACATGCTTAATTATTTACCATCATCCTAATTAAATTTTGCCATATCTTGAATCTAAAAATCTTCAAATCTAAAATTTAGGGGGTCGCCCAGACACTATTCTCCCAAGTAGAAATAATGATAAAGAGATAAAGACAAGACAGATATTGGGGTAATTATTTTACCTGATTCATTCCAGCATTTGTAAATAACAATGTTTTATCCTCTCTTGGTATAACCGATGAAGACGGTACGAACAAATGACTCTGCTTCTCTTTGAAATAATCGATGAACTTTCTTCTGATTTCTCCTGATGTCAAGATGTTTGATTTTGTCGACGTCGTACTGCGGCAGTCGACATGTGTCCGGTGAAAACATCTGTTCACGACGTTCGGTGCGATCGAGGCGTTCTTCAAACAAAAACACAACTGTCTTGACAGAACTGATGATTGCTTAAAATTAATCGACATATTTCATACTGCGGTGAGGTAGAAACTACATGAACGAACCCAGGAACCACGTTCACGCCGTTTCTCACGGGGACGCCATCTTGTTTTACAATACGGGGGAATACCTCTGACGTCACACGAAGGACGTTGAGCTTATTCATTGCCATCTGCAGGCACCTGGGAGCACGGGCGCTTGCAACATATTGGGTTGGTGAAAAAATAATTATAAATGTTTTGTTTTTTTCTGCCGCGTATTTAATTTCTCCACTCAAATGACCTCTTTTTCTCTTTGTAATCTAGTTTTCGTACATGTCCGTATTTGGTCTGTCAAAATATTGCATCTCAATATAAAAATCCGGTGTGATTTGAATAAACTGAATGTTTTTATATTTCACAACAGACAAGCAGTTAAAAGACATATACGAGCGAGATGATATGACACTGTTATTTTGCTTTTTGCGTGACAGTGCAGTTTGAAATCGATCAAATAGAAATTGACATTAATGTGTTTATTCGTATAGTGGAAACAAAATCAATAGAGAGTCGAACTCCGAACATTCAAAATAATGGCTAGTCTGAAACTATCGTATTTAAATCCCACTACCTTTTCCTTAATATTGAAGAATTTTTACTGACAATTTTCAAAAATTAATTTCTGTCAAATTCTAATTATCGATGTTACTCGTGATTGCATCCAGAATATACGACCCAGACGTATCGGTTGTCATTTCACACACAGTCCCACAATAACCCTCAGAGGCAGCTATACTTCGAGTTCGGACTTCGAGTCATTGACCTCGTCTACTGTCGGGTCGTACTTTTTGGCCCGACCACACCCAGTGTTGATCTAATCACGCCAACTTTTACCCGATTTTTTGAAGGGGTGCTAACTCACGACTTGAAATTACTAACTCGAAGTTCGCCAACGTCGCTAACCCGATTTGTTTTTACCATCAGAGGAATATTTCAGACATTAAAAGTTATTCTCTTGTGCATAGAAACTCATGTGGGTATAGTATTTTTTGCGAAGCCATTCCGCACTCGAACTCAAATGTTTCGATAATTCAGTTTATTTACGTAATAAAGACCACCTCGGCATACTTACAACCCACCTCACCTTAAGTTGAGTAGAACGTATGGCGGTTAATCTGAAACTAAGGCTGATTATTTTCGAACCAGATATGAATCAGGCGAATACTTCCACAATCTTTTTCAATTAAGTTTATTTAACTCTTATTTGAGTAGCTTCCGTCTATTTTTCGTTGCTATCTTAATGCAACGGCATATGTGTCAAGAAAGTGATTAAAAACTTATACAGTCATTTAATAAATGATATTATTATACATCTGTATACGTAACGCCGTAAGTTACAGCGTGCCGTAATTTTGTGGTATTTTACGGGGTATTTTCATCCTACCATTTTAGGAAATGTGAATTCCAACTATGGAGCGATTATGCGCGTGAGCCTCCACTAATAATAAAAACAAACATGGCAGCCCCATCGATCTCCACCGGCTGCGCGTCGGTCGATACTCCCGCTGTACTGTCTTCGTGCATACGTTTCGGTATCCTCGTAATAACCTCATATTATCCAAAATATGTAATAGGTACATACTATGTAAATAACTCACATTATAATTACTGGTATAATTATGCTTTGGTTTAAAACTTGAATTTTCACATATAACTATGGTTATTGGATGTTATTACAATAGCAGTAAAATCGTGATTACAATATCGGATGGACAAATTATTACATTATCGGTCATTCATAACATTACCGACGAGTTATCACATTACGAATTGGTATTACATTATACCAGTTAATTATTAAATTATCAGACTAAACGTTGCACATTTTCATTAACCACGTGCACCAGAAAAGCTCAGTACTAGCCACGCCATTTTTATACTTAAAACGGGAAAGTCGTCACATGCGCATGCGTCAGATGGCCATAGCGTGTCAATGTTTAAAAACAAACGACCCTCCTGCTTTGAACAAATCGTTTTGCTAAGCGATTCTAGAAACACTTAGTGGCCAATATTATGAAATTTGGAGTAAAACTCACATACCCAGCATTCCTCAAAGCTATTCAGAGTTACTTTTAAATCATTAGCCGTCCCATATTCGATAGACATGCAGCAGTTTATTTAGGACAATATTTAGAAAAACGGAAATATTCAATGAAACATTAGCTTTGACAGTTATATCACGTAAATGCACATTACTGAAATAATGTCAAGTCAGCATTAATGTAGGGCGATAACTGAGGAAGGAAACCGCATCAGTCGAGCTCTGAATCAGTTTTTTTGCGTGTGAGACCTCCCGTGAAGTGACTTTTTGTGTAATACCAATTAGCAGCACAATACTAGTAAATATGCAGTTAAGTATTTTTTGGGGGAGGGGGATTAACAGCATATGAGTGTATATAATGAATTGCATTTTAAGTTTTAACTCGTGTGCAACCATATCTTTAGATGTATATATGTATATAAGAATGTATAAACTTTATCCCTGAATGGAAAACACAATGTGTATGTCAGTGTCTAATATGCTGACTTTCACTGCACTTTGCGCCTGCTTTGATATTCAGATCGCATTTGTGGCACATCGTTCATACCGTTGAAAAACTAACACAGCAGATTACGTGAGAATGTATAAGGTTCAAATTGCCAATAACAGATTTTAATGTCAAACAGTTGGAATCATACTGAATGTTGACTGAATAGTAGTGTGTGTATCGAGGCAGAGAACAGACATATCGACACAAGGTTATTTTCGTTAACAAATAAAAAGGTAAATAGAGTCTAAATAAGGATTAAATAAAGGCACTCTTTATCAATAGTAATGTACTTTGTAACGTCATCGATGTCTGCTCTTCCATATTAAGCCTTCGACCTGTGTGTTCGATCCTGTAAACTCGCACGCTCCTGAGATAACATAGACGTCACAGGGACTACTGTAAATTAATGGCAAGGTTGTCGTATTGCTTGGTAAGTCAACTGTAATGTAAGCGAAATGGAGAATACGTAAATTTAGAGATATTTACTTGTAATGAATTCCAAAGTTGGTTGTTAGATATCGCGCACCCCCATACATGATATACGAAATGTTCACAAGGTTATGAACAGACGGAACGTGAGCTCAGAAGCAATTCCGATGTTAAGAATCCTATTTACGGGTGTTTGATGTGCCACATATTGTCCAAAGTCGAAAGCAAACGCCAAAAAGAGTGAGTTCACTGTTGTGCTAGCTCTAGTGGTATTATTCACTCAATCACTGCATTATTCAAAGTGATTAGTAAATGTTAACTCTTTGTTTTATCCCACAAAACCAATCAAAATGAGTCTCTGCTAGATTTCTTTAATTTGACATCAACGTTCACACGTAAGTATTAGAATCACATAAGAAACGTGTGTGTGCCAAGTTTAAAGGTAATGGCTATACATATAAATACAAACTGTGACGTTTTTGAGCCGATAACGCCAAAATCATCCAATGTCACATGCGTGTCAATTCTAAGAAGGTCAATATTTCCTTTTGAAACTCTATTGTGAACAGACATAGACATATATATCTTAATGTAGACCTTTGACCTCAAAGTGTAACTAGGTTGACTTTTGACTCACAAATATGCCTGTGTATTTGTTAGTCACATTCAGTAACTTTTTTGTCAATTTAGAATGGCCCAGCTACGTGTAGTTATATAACATTCACAAACCCATACTGTAAGCCTGACCTAAAATGTAGCAAGGACTCACTCACTCGCTATTCTTTTACACATAATAAGCATGCCTCAATGATTTAAAATATATCGTTGTATATTTCCGGTAGCAACCAGAAGAGTAGTCACACCATTTTTCATACTTGGGCTTAAAAATGCACAAAATAAAGATTATCCAGGATTCCTATTATGTAGCTTTGCCACAAGAATCACAACTACTTCAGAATGTTGTTTGATTTGTTGTTTGAAATGTTGTTATATATTATATTATTGCAACACAAAATGTTTTTTCAACACAACATAGCATAAATGTACATACATCAAATAACTCTTCAATTCAGTAAATGCACAGAAGAAATTCTACAGATTCATTTTTCGGGAGAGTACGAAAAGTAGACTTGAACATTCAACAAGTTGACAGCATTAATCAGCTGCAACTGATTCCTGTTCCTCTGACAAACTGATTAATCTGTTATGACTTTTCTGTTGTTGATTTGAACCTTTGCGTTTTCATGGGCCTCTCTATTATTAAGGTCTGTCTTTCGGAAACTTCTCAATTTGTTTATTCACACATTTAGACCTGTTTTGCTGTTGACACAAACATCACTGGCTTTATAAAAATCAAAATGTATGTAAAGTCTTACACAGAAATCATGGCAACTAACTGCTAATAAATTTCTATATGCTGTTTCAAATAAATTATACTGACAAAATAACAACAATTCAAACAGTTACGATACATTTTAAGTTGCTTAAAAATTACATCTCAATTAAATTATATTCATTGGGTTGTTTTTCGAGATAACAATGGCCTGTTCAAGTTTTTTTGATCACTTCACTTACAATTGATTCAAGAATGCTTCCCATCTTCTTTCCCTACCACATCATTAAAAAAAACGGTTCTGCATAATATTAAGTCTACGATCAAATGGTATGTCGATTGATTGCCCCTAGCACTGAATTGAGACCCGACCAGCCGTGCTTTGTTTCTGCTTGACTGCGCATCTCGGCATCTCTTATTCTGTTTAAGAAAGGCAAAACATCGTTTTAGCAAAATTTAAAACTGTACCGTAAACAGTGCGGTTATACCGGCGCAATTTAGTAAAAATGTAAACAAAACAAAAGACTCATCTTATTATTATTCTGTATCCTTTTATTTGTGTCATCTTTGATGTTTTAATACTTGGTATATCTGTTTTACGCAGGTCAGATTTGATCATTTCTATGTATGCACATCCACCAAACTCACCTGAAAAAATGTTTGATGAACTTGACGCAATACCTAAGGATATAAAT